CACGTCTTGTAGAGACTAGATATGTCTGGCCAGTTGACAAAATGTTCGATTGAGCTCAGAGAATTTGACATCTAGTGTGTGCCCTGAACAACTATTAAGAGACAGGTAATTGCTGACGTCATAGTAGAATTTACTATCGAAACTTTGAAGCTTGATGACACTGCCACTTAGCTAGGGGAATGACAAATGCATGTCAATGGATCCTCTATTTTAACTGAGGGGAGGGGCTGGATTGATTTTCATCTCTCCAACTGAAGACAAGATCCAATATGCCCTACGTTTTGGGTTCAAGGCCTCAAACAATGAAGCAGAGTATGAAGCTCTCAATATAGGGTTACAATTGGCTAAAACCCTAGAAGTAAAGAATCTGAAGACTTAAAGCATCTTGTAGCTTTTGGTGAGATAGCTATAAGGAGATTATGAAGCTAGAGATCCACGAATGAGCTCCTATTTGGAAATAGAAAGCAGAAAAGATTGCTTATTTTGAGAATTTTGAAATTTTCCAAGTCCCATGGTAGCAGAATTCCCATGCAAACTCACTGCTAGCCTTTTTCGATATCCTATGCAGAGTTATATCTGTAGAGTTCCCATTAGAACCAAGCACTTATCATACCAATGTCCATCCAATTTTAGCAAGAGCCTAGCTGGATGGATGAAATAATAGCATAATTTTAGCATGAGATACTCCCGCAGGAAGTCCAAATAGCTTGGAAGCTTCGGAGAAGAGCCTCAAGATAATTGGTTTTGAACCAAATATTCTATTAAAAAGGCTATTGATTCCCATACTTGAGGTGTCTGAGCCCAACTAAAGTGGCTTATATCCTTAAGGAAGTTCATGAAGAGGTATATGAAAACCAATAAGGGGGTTATTCTTTGACCCAAAAGATCCTTAGACATGGCTATTTTTGGCCACTATGAATAAGGATACTCAGAGCTATGTGAAAAAATGTAAAGAGTGCCATAAATTCACTGCCATCCCAAAGCTCCCTCTAAAAAAGCTTATTCCAATAATGAGCTTGTGGCCATTTGCTCAATGAGGGATCGACATTATTAGACTGCTTCCAATAGGGAAGGGCCAAAACAAGTTCGTAGTTATTTTCGTCGACTACTTCACAAAGTGGGCGAAAACAGTGTCACTTGCAACAATAACAAAGCAAAAGATTCATAATTTTTTATGGAGGTCAATTGTTTATAGGTTTGGCATACCAGCTGTCATAATAAGTGACAACAAGCAATTCGATAATGAAAAATTTAGAGGGTTCTGCTTTAAGTTCAGAATCCATAACCACTACTCTTCTCCTGGCCATCCCCACGTAAATGGATAGGCAGAAGTATCCAATCGAACCCTACTACATAACATAAAGACCAGGTTAGAATAATCAAAGGGCCTTTGGGTGGAACAAATCTTGAGCATCCTATCCTAGTAGAGATAGGAATGGCAACCCATAGAACCAAGGAATTCAACCTCAATGCGCATAACCAACTACTTACAAATAACCTTGATTGGTTGGAAGAGAAAAGGGAAGAGTCCCAAATAAGAATGATAACATTCCAAAAAAAAGTCTCTAGCTATTACAATGCCTATGTGAAGCCAGGATAGTTCATAATCAATGATTTAGTGTTGAGGAAAGCCACCCAAGCAAGCAAAAATTCAGGAGAAGGAAAGCTGGGGCAACATGGGAAAGACATTATCGAGTTGTAAAAATCCAGAGACCAGGAACTTGTCATTTGGAGACTCTAGGAGGAACTAAGTTGCCACACCCCTGGAATGCTGAAAACCTAAAGAAGTTCTACTAGTAATCGCCTTTGAGTTTCGAGTTTCGAGTTTCCATGTAGCTAGTTTCAATAAGACTATGTACCTTGCAATTTCTTTTATTCAATAAAGGATGTAGTTTTCAAGCATCATGGCTATCAAAACAAAAAGGAAACTTGGATCTTTTCAACTCCTCGCTTAGCTCAGATTGAGTTTACTTGACTCAATAGAAGCAAATTTGGAGTTTTCTAGCTCCTTACTTAGCTTAGATTGAGTCTAATTGACTCAACAAAAGCAAATTTGGAGCTTTCTAGCTCCTCGCTCAGCTCAGATTGAATCTACTTGATTCAATGGAAGCAAAATTGGAGCTTTTCAACACCTTGCTTAGCTCAGATTGAGTCTACTTGACTCAAGAAAAGCAAAATTGGAGATTTCTAGCTCCTTGCCTAGCCTAAAAAGGTATATCATTTCAGTCCTCAATTAAGCTCAAAAAGAGAACGTGAGAAAATAGTGCTCTAAGTAACTTCTACAAGGTTGCTATCCTTTCACAAGTCAAGGGGATAAAGGTAGAAAGGGAAAACAAAAGGCTTTCATGGATAAATTTTTACAAATTCTTTAAAAGAAAAAAAAAACAAAAAATGGCTAGAGCTCAGCCAGAGCCAAGTCCCCTCTGTTGCTTCCCTAACGAAGAAGGGCCCCTCTTCCCAGCCGTGTTTACGAGAAACATGAGCCTCTGTCATTGGCCCTTCATTATCAACACAATCAATTAGCAAAACACACCAAAAGAAGTCTACTTATGAAGAGAAGGGGTAGGGGAACCCCAAATACGAGGAATTGAGACAAATTTATATAAAGGAGTCTCAGAAGGCCCAAACTCCCAGACGCGGCCAGAAACAAAGAAAAATTTATTTTTCCACTTTTTTGTGTTCGAGGAGTAGTCTGTTAGTAGACTCAGCTCCTCTCTCTTTGAAAGATAAAATCAACCCAAGCCCTTTCCAGGGTAGGGATGAGTTTATAGCATTGCATCAACTCAGCAAAGGAGGGATGTATGCTAATACCATTGACTCTAGCCCAGATAACCCAAATACCAATAAAAATCCCCAGCTATTCAGGGGTTAATTGCACCAGTGCAAGGTTCAAGAGATGAAGGGTTTCCCTAATATATTTGGGCATTGGAAAACAAAGTCCAGCTTCAAAAATAGATTCATGAAAACAAACTTCATCAGGTAAAAATGTGTTCGCGATTTCGTTGGGAGACGGAGCCTTATGCACAGAATTGAGAATTTGATATAATGTCCTAAACTCTTGGAGGGCATCCCTATCAACGCAGTTATGGTAATTCTTGGGTCCAATAACTATGAGAGACGAAGATCCAATCTCTTGGATCAAGTTAGAGTCCTTGTTAGCTACTTCAGTTTGAGCCACCAACATTGGAACACTTTTTTAGGGAGTATGCTTAGAATCACTTGCCATAAGGGGAAAGCTACAATGGTTGATGTACAAGTTCGGAGGAAGGGGACGATTGAAGTTATCCACAATCAAGGAAATGCAAAAAATTAAGCACAGATTGAAACCAAGATCTAAGGGACCTACCCACAAAACACTCCAAGTGATCAAAGTTGGAGTTTTTCTACTTGAGAAAGTGAAATTGGAAGATTTATCTTCAACCTATATGATCTAGAATGAAGATTCGTGATGAAATAAAAAAATAAAACAGGATAAGAACAAAGAGGCAAAGGTGTACCAGACTTCTTAGAGCTCTCGAAGATCACCTAGAGCGAAGAAAGATTTTATACGCCAGACCCACAATAGCTCTCTGGCAATTGTGTGTACAAAGCAAACGGTTCCACTCCTTAAGTTTCTAACAAGCAAGTGTAATCAATGCGTGACACGTGTCTTCCACTGGTTTGAACTAGAGGCAATTGATAAGCATAAATGGTAACAAGCCTAACCAGTGTGCTTGAGGTCGACACGTGAGCTTGGCACGTGAGCTCTGCCTCTTAATAAGATGACTCCAACAACCACCTAGCTCCTTGCTCACCCATATCTCAACTTGAGTCCAACCAACCGTCCAAAGAGTAGCTCAAACTAGTAGCAAAGCCTTTGGAGGACGATTCACTTTCTCTGCCGCCTTATTCAAAAAGTAGTTAAGAAGCTCTAACGACACATTTTGCCTACCTATAAAAGGGTCATGCTAGCCATGAACTAGGCAAGCCATATTCTCATGCTATATATAATTCTTTCGTCATTCCAATTTTGACTTAATTATCGGAGATCGCTAGAGCCCCTCCAGTCTTCGACTTTCTTTATAGGAATCTCCCACTGATTGCTATATCATCCCACAATCCATATATATATGATAAATTTTATTTTATTTAAAAATTATATTTTATGTACCTTAAGATATTTGAAATTATAATGGTCTACATTAGGTCTGTTAATGCATCTGTCTTTTCATCTGAATCTGATATAATTTCGAACCCGATCAATTGCATATGAAATATAATTTTAAGTAATTATTTAATTTTAATTTTGAACTTATATTCGTTGTGTCTTAATTCAACAAATTGAAATTTAGGTCTATTAATAACCACTTTTCTAGTCTAACCAAAACTTGAACAATCTCTATTACGCTTAATGTAAGAGTAATTTTACGTTTCGGTACCGTATCAAAAATTACTAATTTTTGAGATCTAGTTATATTGTTTAAAATTTTAATATCGTATCAAAAATTATTTTTATTATTTGGTTAAATTACATTTTTTAAATATGAAGTTACAATAGTTTAAGGTAATTCTTGACCGATCATGAAGTATTATGATCGGTCATTGAAATATTATGATCGATCATGATACTAACTTCGTATTTAAAAAATGTAACTTGAACTTGAAAAGTTTTAGCTACACTTAAAATTTATAACTTCGATTATTGATCATAACATTTTAGAATTGGCAATTATAGTTGTAATTTTTACCTCAAAAAATTATAATGTAACCTTAAAGACATATAGAATTTAGTGCCGTAGTTTTCCTCTTAATATTATATATAGGAAAGGGTTGAAATGAGCTAGTGAAATTAGCGCCATCCGAAAAGATGACCTTTAGAAATCTTGTCTATATGTGAGAGAATTTTCGAGGAAAGTTCCTGGCTTGTAACTTACGGGTTTGCGTAAATTTGATCTAAAGCATGATGATATTTTGGACATTGGGCCTCTATAAAAGGACCAACATGAGTAGGGTGGTGGTTCATGTAGGGAGAGAGGTTGGAAAAGCAGTGTGTGAGCAAGGTGAGAGTGAAGAGAAAGAAAAGAAACTAAGGAAAAAAAAATGATGATAGAGATAGAGGAAGTAAGCAGCTGGGAAGCCCTGCCTCTACTCTCCTTGAATCATGTCTCCATATTGGTTAGATCAGTGTGGACTTCTGTGCGGTTCTATGAGAATGTCTTGGGTTTCCTTCTTGTTAAACGCCCTTCATCTTTTAATTTCCATGGAGCATGGTCTCTCTCTCTCTCTCTCTCTCTCTCTCTCTCTCTCTCTCTCTCTCTAATTGTTTTCTTCTCTGCCGTTCTTCTTTTAGGGATGCATGACAGGGCAGGCTTCCTACTATGAGAGAAGAAAATATCATTTTTATTCTTTGTTTTCAATGTAAGAAATGATATGTGAATTTCAAGCTTAACAGCAGCACTTCATCTCGAATGAAAATTATACGAAACAGTTAAGAGTGATGTAGTTTAAGAGGTTTTGAACACCATAGAGATTACTGTTTTTATAAGCATGACACAACACAGCCATACTATTTTACCAATTTATTCAAACTTGTGTAGGTTGTACAACTATGGCATTGGAATCCACTTGCTTGAGAACGAGTCAGCCGATGAGTATGACACTCAGAATGAACCGCGCCCCATCAATCCCAAGGATAACCACATATCTTTTCAAGTAAGAACCTTTCATTTACATCTAATTCTTTATTCAATTACATAATTGTAGCAGAGTAGACAGTAGTAGTTGATCCTATCATATCTCTATCAGTACTCCCATGCATATATAGCATGGATATGGACAGTGAAATTTTAGCATATACATAGTGGGATCTTTAAAAAAAAATCATTTTCTTTTGAATCAGTGCACCGATGTGGGAGTGGTGAAGAGGAAGCTGGAAGAAATGGGGATGAACTATGCAACGGCGGTGGTGGAGGATGAAGGGATCAAGGTGGATCAGGTGTTCTTCCACGACCCAGATGGGTACATGATAGAAATATGCAACTGTGAGAATCTTCCGATGCTTCCTATCTCCTCCTGCTCCTTCAAGCCCAAGAATGACAATTACAAGAAGATGGGGGCAAACCACTGCGGTTTCATGGAAGCTGTGGTGATGGAGACTGCTATGATGGAGAGCTTGAGCATGGATATGATGAACTTTTCATTCTAAGTAGTGAGATTGTGAAGCCTTCTACTTTGAAATGTTTAATTTGAAGAAAATTTAAGGATTATGCTACATATGCATCAAAAGTTGTATAATTTTCAGTGCTTTGTGTTTTAAGGGGAAGAATTTAAAGTGGTATTTGTGGGATTGTAATAAAAATGTATGAATACATGGATTTTCGATTTGTCTCGTACCTTTGTGTTCACTATCGTTGCCATGTTCCAAGTGACACATCTTCTAGAAGTAGACCATCCTAGAAACTCTAGTTGTATACCACTTCAACTAATAGCATTTAGCTAATGGCTCTTCTTCTTGTTCTCGAATCAGGCTTTAGATGTGGGGCTGGTTCAAGGACTGAATGATGGGATGTCTCCAATCCTTCTCCTCCTCGATGCCGGAAGTGAATTCTTCTATTATCATGCCTCTTTCCTTGGTTGAAGGTAGAGTTCTCCAATAAACTCTAGGGATAATGTGACTGAAATAAATGAATTTTTGCTTAGGTTTGGAGATCATAAAATGTCACGGTATGAAGATAATAAATTTGTACATATCAGTCCATATGAAGGTATACGATGTTGTAATACAAGAAATTATCACCGAATTTCTACAACACAAAAACTTTTTAGAACATCATGGGGGAGGGGGAGGGGGAGTGGGAAGAGAGTGAGTAGAAGATATTTTGTATATTGAAAGGTATATGAAATTTGTATATGCAACCAACATGTCTGTTTTAACAACAAATTCTTTGAGTGGTACATAGACATGTCCTTTAAATGGATTGACCCACGGGCATGCCCATTTGGGTGCATGACCCAACCCGACATCTAACGGATGATGGTCAATTTGTGAGTATTTGATTGGTTAAAGTGAAATCAGAGTTTTCACTAATAATTTTTGTGGCATTCACTGATTGGTTTATCTGGCTGACATTTTCATTGGATCACTCATCCTGTGGGTGTGGGCTGTACCTCAGGCATGATTTGCAGAACCACCAACTGTGGCTACCCTTCATCACCGTGAATCTTTTGAATTTCTTAAATGAATTTGGACCATCGGTGACAATAAAACACTATATATACGACAATACAACTAGAACCTAAGACACAAATAAGCTATTTTTGAACACGAATAATACATAGGTTGTAGTAGTGTCAAACACGAATAATCCGAAATTAACACGATTTATACATTTAACTAGTAATTTATGAATACAATAGCGGTTTTTATTTTTCTTTTTCATCAAGTATTGATATATCCTAGTAAAATAAGAGAAATTTTTATTTATTTTTACTAGTATATCTGTATTTTGAATTCTTGGTTTGTGGAAAAGTTATGAGTGTTAGTTTGGTCAAGAAATAATAGAGTTTTAGTTTTAGATTTTTGATTCATGTGTTTATTGGTTAACCCGAACATAATACGAAAATAAATATGTCGAGATAGTGTCAAAACATCTGCCAAATAATTAAAGGGATGTTTCATTTAACCACTCATAGCATCATTGTTAACTACTTGAGTTGAAATTTCTATTATTTTTGGTAAATACTTTATATTTAAATTTTTTAAAAATTTAATTTTTAACACATTAATAGATATTTTTTTAAATAATATCAGGATGGGTGAAGATAATACTATGATAGTGAGAAGTGGAGCAAGAGCGACGGTGGTGAGAAATTGCAGTTTTCGTGCATCTCATAAGGGTCATAACAAAGGTTTGTGAGTAAGCTATTCCTTTCTGGCGTTTTGAGTGGAACTTGTCCTAATCTTTAAGTCCCCAAATCCTAGAATAAACAATGCTTTTTCCATTTTTTTCCAGCCTTCATACGAAAACTAATGTTGATCATCTTTAAGTTGAGGCAAATGCCAACCTTAATGTGCTTGCACCCCAATTCATTTCATTCATTCCACAGTAGTTTTCGAAGCAAACTATAGTCTTATAAACTATAGTGTCATGAGCACGTCACAAATACTTGGATTATTATTCTGCCTTTATCACAGTATGATATTATTACACAAGAAATCAACATTAAACTTTCACGCCACAAAAGCCTTTTTAAAGGGAGTTTCTAACCAAGGCGCGTCAATTGCTGATTGAAAACTATTTCCAAACCTCCTCTTGGGCCTGGGTTCAGCCTAGGCCTAAGAAAATTTCTAGAAGGACTCCCTTAGGGTAAAATCTTACCAAAAAAAAAAGGAGGAGTTTGACAAGTGTCATAGTAATTTGAAAGACATATATAATTTATATATGCAACCGATATATTGGTTTGTTTCAACAACACACTAGCGATAATCCATTTTAAAGGCACTGTGCAATTCAAAAAAAAATAAAAACAAACGTTCTTTGACATGGAACAATAATACACTGGACATAAAAATACACAAAATTGAAAGTCTAAATTAGATTAGACACAAGCGAAAAACCTCTATCAATTGTTCGACCAAGGCCATATGAGAGCACGCTCGGCTGTTGGATGTGGGTCACTCAGCCAGCCGAAAAGCACACTGCTAAGGCTACTCCTGCTTGCCTGCCTTTGCTAGGAGACTCCTACCCGGCTAAGGATCAACAGAAGACCTAGATATCTAATCAAATATTACTCCGAGTATCAAGGGACTAATGATGAGATCAACGACGCCTCTTGGCAGACACATCCCTTCCCATAATTTAGGATCTAGCATCATAATATGAATCTACCTCGAATGTCTCCATCAGGAACACTGCTTCCCATACCACTATAAATAAAAATTTCAAGTACTAGGTAATTCATTCAATCACAGCCTATTTACTTTATACTTTTCTTCAACTCGCTTATTGATTTAAACATCAAAGTCATTTTAGCCGCCTCAGGTCATTGGTTCACCTAGTTATTCTCTTGTCTTGCATGTTCACCAAGACTTCTTTGTCATCCTCTCCGTTCATACGAGATGGTGACCCTTTGCGTGGATTTATTACTGCACATCTACCTTAGGACAATTAAGTCCTACTTTGATAATTTATTTCCAAGAAGTCCTATACTCCATCAATAGTCTGTTTTCTTCCAATTTTATCATTTCCATCAATGCAACAATTACATTTTTACCAATAAAATTTGTTATTAGGACCTAAAACAAATTATTATTTTTCCAATTAGTGCATAACACCCAAAACACATAATTAACAATGAAGACTTATAGAAATAATAAATCATACAACTCTATTTTTTTTTCTACATATTCACTGAGCATATAAATTTTGACTCACTTCACTATCAAATTTCAACCATAAAGACATACAATTACATAAATTAACAATTTAAAAACTAATCCATGAATACAATCATTAAAAAAAGTTCATCTAATTATGTTTTTTTTACTTCCCCTTCCACGTTTTGAATTAATTAAAAAATAATTATTTTTAAGGCATAAAAAAAGAAAGAATTCATGCATTAAAAATTACAACATTGTATTTAAGAAATAAAATAAAAAATATTTATTTATTTAATGACTTTTATACTATGTAAGATTCACTCACATATAAACTCTTGTATACCAATATGATGGATGTTTTGATAATTAAAGGTATAGCTTACTTGGGTCTTAATTTAAAATAAAAAATTATATTTTTAAATAAATACAATTGGATATAAAATTATACACAAAAATATAATTTGTGATTTCATGGGAATGATAAAATTGGAACAAAATAAACCATTGATGGAGTTTATGACTTCTTTGAAATAAATTATCAAAAGTAGGACTTAATGGTTCTTTTAAAAGAAAAGTAAAACTTATTGGCGTTTTTCTAAAAAAGGCAATTTATAAGTAACTTAATAGGAAATAAAAATAATAGTAAAAATGATTACAAAGTCAGTTGGAAAAATGAAAACAATGCAAAACCCTAGGCTTGAAGGGGATACTAAAGGGGACGCAACATAAGATATTAGTTGACATCAGACCTACATGATGCCGCATCTCAGTTGCAATCTGTTATAGCCAGTGGCAGCCCCAGATATTTTGAGGTCTAAAGCATGGAAAAAATAAATGATTTTTTTTTATTTTTAAGATTAATAATAAATTTGTAATTTTTTTTTTGAAATGCAAAAGTATTAATTAATTTTTTATATTCAAATTTTTGTTATCACAGTTGAACTTGATAGTAAGGGAGAGAGAGAAAGAGAGCGGGAAAGAGTGATTGAAAAATTATAATGACAATTTTAAATTTGACTTTTTTGGGGGGTTAAAACTTGAATTTTAGTAGCATTAATTTTATTGTTAACTTTTTTCCTTTTGTCTTCAAAAATTTAAATTTTAGGGCCTTTTAATTTTATTGGTGGAATTAATAATCCCAATCCACTTAAGTTAAAATATTTTGTTTGGGCTTAAATTTAACTTTTTAGTGGGGCTATTTTTTATAGATTTATAGATTTTTTATTTTGGCTATTTCACACCTAAATATTATGTGGCCTTTTTTAAAGTAGGGCCATTTAATCTTGAGGGGATGAAGCTGAAGCTGAAGATTCAATGCAGAGGGAGGGAAGGATGGAAAGATCTCCATTATATTCAATATGAAATCTATTTACGTCATCTACTATTCATATAGTACTTAACCAATTGTAAAAATAATCTATGTATTTAACAAACCTAACAACTTGACTATAACAGCTTGGTGAGGTGCCTTATTCTCAATACGCCCCACAAGATGGAGTGTGAATATTGAGAAAACCCATTTTGCTAAGAAGAAGATGAAACTGAGGGATTCCAAGAGGTTTGGTGAAATGACCAAAAAAAAAAATGAGGTTTGGTGAAAAGATCACCCAGTTGATTGGATGAGGTGACATGTAAAGCTTTGTGAGATCCTGCTTGAATTTTGTCACAAATAAAATGGCAATTTAGCTCAATGTGCTTGGTCTTTTCGTGAAACAAGAGAGTAGCTGCAATGTGAAGTGCAGCTTGGTTGTCACAAAAATGAAAAGCAGGCTGAGAATGAGGAATCTATAGGTCAGCAACCAATTCAATTCACTTCCAGTTGAAGTCATAGCTCTATATTCTGATTCTGCAGAAGAACAAGAGACTGTGTCTGCTTCTAGGACTTCCAAAAGATGAAAAATTTGTCATGTAACAAATCACGTGCCCCAATTCCAACCGTCCATTGTTGTTATTGTGTCATGGGCCATTAGGCCATTATCTTCTCCTGTTGTTACAAGCAGTTTAGTAGTTCATGGGCCACTAGGCCATTATCTTCTGCTGATAGTTACAAGCAGTTAAGTCCAAGGTCTATATATTGTAATTCTGATTGATCAATGAAGATATCACTTTCCTTGAGTTCAATACAAGTATACTGGAGGTTGGCCCCTCAAAGAGCCTTACTTTATTTGCTGGATACCTGACTGTGGTATCAGAGCACAGGACGACTCCATGGCTGATGGAACTCGTCTGTCTCAACTTTCGGAGGCACTTTCTCAATTGCGCGCCGAGAATGCTTCCATTCGTGAGAACCAGACCCAGTTATCCCATGCCCAAAACAAACAACAGCATTTGTTGGAAGAAATTATTCAACAAGTCGCGAGTTTAGCCACCAGTTACAATACATTAACCCAATCCTTGACCCACCAACCCAACCCCACAAATCCCAATGACCATGAAGCCAGTAACCCACCCACTTCCCCTCTGAACCATCACAACCCACTCTTTGAAACACCGACTGGAATTCAAGGTCGTGCCATGCGGTTAGATTTTCCAAAGTTTGACAGCTCCGACCCCACTGGTTGGATTTTCTGTGCCAAACAATTCTTTGCCTTTTATAATACACCCAACCCACAAAAACTCCAATTGGCCTCATTTCACACGGAAGGCAAGGCACTTACTTGGTTTCAAGGGTTGGAGGAAGCACATCCGGTCCAGACTTGGGATGCATTTGTCGATGCACTTCAACTGCAATTTGCTCCTACTCCGTTTGATGATCCAGTGGCTGAGTTTACTAAACTTCGGCAGACCTCCACATTTGAAGATATCAGTCCCACTTTGAATTACTTTCAAATCGCATCACCAACCTTACTGAAGATTTCAGGGTCAGCACCTTCATAAGTGGGCTCAAAGATGACATCTGCACCATGATCACTATGTTTAAGCCATCTGATTTACCCACTGCCTTCGGCCTTGCCAGAATTTATGAAGAGGAAGTTTGCAGGCATGTCACATATATTCGGCCTAGTTTCACTACATCTGCCCCAAATCCAGCCCAACAACAGACTAGCTTCTCTAGACTTCCCTCTTATCGATCCATGACTCCCTATACACCTTCCCCATTACCAGCACCTCCACCACTCCCTAACCGACGCCTTCTACCATCTACACCAACAATCAATTTACCCATTCAACGCATATCTTCAGCTCAAATGCGGGACCGACGTGAACGAGGCCAGTGTTATTATTGTGAAGATAAATGGTCCCTTGGGCATCGCTGCAAGACACCTAGAGTGTTTTTGCTGTAGGGATTGGAAGATGATGACTAACCTGGAAATCCGGAACCACCTGCTATTACCATTGAGGATACTGACAGCCCTATTCCATCATCACCAAGTGGCACAGCTGAGATATCCTTACACGCAATTTCTGGTGCCCCCGCACCTGGCACTATGCAATTACTTGGCCAGGTGGGCTCACAGAAGGTCACGGTGCTTACCGACACAGGCGGCACCCACTGTTTCATAGATCCCAAGGTAGCTGCTCGTGCAAACCTGCCCATAATGGACGGACCTCACTTGTTGGTGATGGTGGCCAACGACGATCGTCTTCCTTGCTTAGGCTGCTGTGTATCAGTTCCTTTCTCTCTCCACAATCACAAATTCTCCACTACTCTCTACTTGCTTCCGTCGGGAGGATGTGATTTGGTTCTCGGCGTCAACTGGTTATGCACCCTTGGGCCAATCATGTGGGATTTTGCTAAGCTTACTATGGGAATTACTTGGCACAATAACCCCGTTATTTTGCAGGGATTAAGCCCGTCTGTGCCTACACTGATGGAATTGCATGACTTCTGCTCCCATTCAGGTCCTCACACAAAAGGATTGTTGGTTCACCTCTTGCAGGCAGATTCTTCCACATCCACTCCTGAGGTGCCTCTTGCCCTCCAACCGTTACTTACTACTTATGCTGACGTCTTTCGGGAACCCACCAGCTTACCTCCACATCGGAGCCAAGACCACAAGATTTCTCAACTCTCAGTCTCTCGCCCTTCTCTGATGGTTTTCTGGGGAGTTTCAGGGTTGAGTTTTGGAGGTGGTGGTGACGACTTCAGAGGTGGATAGTGGGTGGTGATGGGTTTCGTGGATGGGCAGTGGGTTTTGCTAGGGAGTTTTAGGGGTGGATAGTAGGTTTCGGTGGTTGTGGTGGGTTATGGGTTTTGGTGGCGGTGGGGGTGAGTTTTGGTGATTAGATTGGGGCTGGGTTTCGGTGGTTATGGTGATGGGTTTCAGTGTGGTGGGTGCAGGTGATGAATTTTTAGTATAATATTAAATAAGTTTTTTATTTTTGTTTTCATAATTTTTTCAATATAAATGACTATCAAACATGTTTTATATTGTTAATTTTTATCAAAAAAAAATAAAAATTAGTTCTATTTTTTTTATATAAAAAAAAACATAAAAATGTGGTGGTTACATTTGCCCTTGAAATCCTTCCCATTTAATCAATAGTCTGCCTCTAGATCTGGTTGAATGGAGATCAGGCTAAAAGTTTGAGTTCGACCACATTGAATGGCACACCCATATAAAATCTCATGGTTAATAACAATGTGCCAACTCTGACAAATTTGAGTTCTATCAAACTGGAATGGCATACCAATATAAAATGATTTTTAATAACAATATACCAGTTCTAGCAATAACTTGAAAATGGAGATGATCTTACATATGTAAGAAGTTTAAGATCTTAATAGCATAATAATGGAGCATGAATGGCCTTGTTAGAGTATTACAAAAGATCAAATTAAGTCATTTTGCGCAACTGGTACTGCTAATTGTACAAGCATGACGTGAGCTCGGTCACAATCATTTTTGAAACTGGGGTCTTTGTTTAGTGGTTGAGGTGTGGGCAGGTGGTGAAGAAGGAGAAGAAGAAGAGAAGAGGAGGGGGGAGTGAAACTGAAGCTTGACCTCGGCTCAGAGTGTGAACAAGCCTCAAGCAAGTTGATTATGAACGGTGTTTGAAATTCTGTTTGCATGACATCAAAAAACAAAATAGCCACGCACAAACTCTATAACAACTAGATCATTTAGTACCATAAATATCTAAGTTACTCTACATTAAGCCTTAATCATAGAGGTTTTTGCCAGAAAAAAAAAGTAACCAAATGATTAGTTCTGAATAAGTAGCATATATCTTTCGATATCAAGCCAAATATATAGGTCCAAGTCTACCTAAAGATGTTGTAGCTCAAGTTTTTTTCCTGCTGTGCACATCAATACATTACATAGCACCATCATCATAATGACGATACAAAAATAGCATAATCAACAGCAGTCAACTAATATGCACTATAGTTCCGATCCAGAGGGAAATATCAATGATAATTAAGTTGAAACTTTTAATTAACAATGACGTAGACACCAAACTCCCCACCAATATTACCTACTTCTTCATCAATCAGTCTTAAACAAAAATAAATGTGACGAAATCCAATTCATGAAGAACAAGGAGTTAAGTAAAAATGTGAACAGGCCATAAAATGAGGATGATCACAAATGCACCAAAGTTTTCAAGTAAAGCCTCTTCTGGAAAACTAACCTGTAAAATGTTGTTTCGGAGTGAATGGGTAATGTCCCAGAAATAAACATGTCACGAGTCAGTTTTAATGTAAACATAAATCAGCACAAAACAGGAAAAAAATAGGTGTACCTTCCCAAGCCCTGTTGCATGACTTGCAGATTTGTCTTTTTTTAAAAAAAAAAATCAATATTGCGTTTTGCCTCTCTCACCACCCTTGTATCATTGGTCACAGTACCATTCTATATCATAAAAAGTACCTAGGAGAATGCTACGGGTCATCTACAAGGTATCTAAATCAAGCAAGAAAAGTTCAAACTCACTTTAGCATCTGGTGTCAATCGCCTAAAAACTTTTGATATCTACAAATTGGAAAACATAATATCTCATAGCTGGCAAACGATTTGAATAATTGCCGTGTCTACAAAACATTCAAATTCCCAAAACCTGTTTTACAACAAGCGGCATTATTTGATGGGTGGCAATAATACACTTTTCAAAATCGACCTTAACGGTGCCTGCACATAATGAATGTCAACGTTAAAGGCATATCCTAAGTTCAGTGTAGTTTAAATGAGATATTTATCTTACAAATCAAAACAAGAATACATTAAATTATGACAAGGCACAAACTTCATTCTGCCTGTGCACAGAAGACAACCATTTTGGGCCACTAATTATACGTGCAGATAAATGTTTAATGAACACCATCTTGTGTCCGTAATAAAAGCGATGAGCCACTTGAAATAACTTTCCTTAAAATATCGACTCATGAATAGGGGAAAGAAAAATAAATTATGGCCAGTTTGGTAGAAGGAGTGAAGCCAGGAGGGATGGAAAAGGTTATAACAGGGAAAAGAAGCTTCAATTTTCTCCACGTTTAGTTGGGGAACAAAAAGAAGGAAAGGGCTGTTACTTAATTTTAAAAATCACACCTCTACATAAAAAATGAAAGATTTTGTTTGAAGACAAAAGGTTAAGAAAGAAAAGGACCTTCATTTCTCCCCAGTTTCTCTCAGTTTCAAATGAGAGAATATGGTCAGCCTAAACAGGATAGACCACCTCTCCTCTTTTTTCCCTTCTCCTTCCCCTCCTCCTCCTACCAAAGGAAGGACATTCCATCCCTTCCTCCACTCTTTCTTTCCCGCCTCTCTTTCTTTCATTTGTTCATTCTAACAAAATATAAGTCAAGTGGTTCATGCGACAGGGAAAACATTTTAGGCTTACTGTCGGTAAACGTTATGTGCATATAATAATTTAGAGAGATTTTCAGTTGTTTAAATGGACATTGCTTAGTGGAGGGCTTGATGTTCGGGCTGTCATGAGTTTAATTGCACCAGGATGCACAATCCATATCTTCTGGCTTGGCCACTTACAATAATTTCAGATAGAAGAGCATGGCTAATTTCGCAGATGCTGTACTTCTAATGGTTGGTAAGGAGATAAATATCAGAGTTTTCCATGATGACCAAAAATTTAGCTCATGATAATTAATTCACAAAGAAAGAAAAGGAAAAGAACGAAGAACATTTTGGTGAGCAAGCAATTTATCCGTGGTTAGTGTTCTTTAAGGCGTAAAGTGAATTGAAGCGAACCGATCTCCTGAAGGTCTAGGTGCGAAGCTAGCACTTTATTGAAGCAAAACAAACAATATAAAAAATAAGTAAATATTTAATTTCATGCTTTGATAAATATTCAAGTTTTAACCTTACAAATTTAAAATATTTAAATGCAATCAAAATAATAACCATCAACATATTTTAAATAGACAAGATATTAAATATTGATCATTATTATATTCTAAAAATAATCAATTGACATAATCACGTCATCTAAATATAAAGTTAGCAAATGTGGGTTCGACTTCTCCCGTGATTGATTAATATCACCACTAAACAAAGCACTCACAAATTGATTAATCAAGTAGAATATATAACAAATTGATTAATCAATTTGATTAACCAAGTAAATTAATTAACAAGAGCATTCACATTAAAACAAAGCATCCAACATTATTTAATCATAATAAGACAGATTGTCATATGATACTGTTGCATGAATCAATCAATTTATTTTATACATTTACACATATAACATCTGTAAATATAACATCATCTCTACTAGGGTTTGATTAATGTTAAAAAAAGTATAGGGGAGAAGGGGGGAGGAGGAGGAGAAAATAAAAAAATTATAGATAGGTGTTCACTCTTCTTGCCTGACTAACTTATTCAATTCGTCGCCTAAGCTCTTTTTACTTAACCTCACTTCGCCTTGGATGTTCAAGGCGACCGAGGCTTGCTTCGCTTCTCGCCTATTACAACACTGTCTATGGTCAAGGAAAAAGTTTGGATATTGGATTGTCGTTTTAAGTTACTCTTTCCCTTAAGTTGTGACATTCTGCATATATTTTGTCTGCATACGTCATAAATACTAGGCTTTTCTTTTTATTTCTATAATTATATTTCTCATGAATAGACAATAGTACTCATACGGGCACATCTAAAGTAATCATCAACGACCATGGTGTATCAAACATATTGGTGCTTTACCATTCTTGATTCTCTCGATAAGCTCTTGACCACCAACATCAGCTCCAACTGCTCAGGCCCCAGCTGCAGCCGCCCTTCAGCAAAGCCAGCCACCCGAAGAGCCTGAGAAAGGACAACATTAATAAGATAATCTTGGAGAGTAGAACATCATTTATGACTATTATATTTCATCAAGCGTAGACTGTACCGCTCCAGTACCATGAGGCAGAGATGCAGAACCACTAAACACCTGCACTTCAACATGGAAAGATATGAGGAATACTTTCCATGCATGCTATTTAAGAAAGTAACAGCAGGAACACATTTAATCTATAACAACAATATGCATAATATTTGCCAGCTCAGCCTCAGCAGGTCATCTGTATAATAATAGAGGTAGAAGTTTTGATCTCATCCTCATATATTATTTCGCTGCTTATTTCTATCGCATCATCTATCAATGTTGAATTATTTAATTTTTTATAAATTTATGACTCAATATTTTATTTAAGACATTTTTCATTTTACGATAATGTACATATATTAATTTTTGTTGAGGTTATGTATTTTGAAAAAATTTTGTCTATTTTGTTAAAAAACATAATGGGTATAAATTAATTTCAAATTATGTAATTAAAAAAATAGAAGGAAAGAAAATTTGTCATTTAATAGTATTAATTTTTTGAACACTTGAATTTTATTATGTTGTATCGTACCTTTAGGCATGAATTACAACTAATTTATCTATAAATAGCCAATGGCTCATCTAAGCACACACCAACTCTGGGCAATGGAACCAGTCGAAGCTACTAAAGAAGGGCCCACCGTACACATAAACCACCACCTAACTTATAGCCTACGTGTTGCAACAGATAAAGAAATAAATACTTGTTATTCTTATTTCTCCTAAAGATCGACATCCATTACACTTATCTCTTCTGGAGATCTGCCTAGATCGTGCAGACTCATTTTATTTGGAGGCAAGTCTCTTACACTAGGAAGGTATGCTTTCAGAA